AGAGTGACTCGGCCTATAATGAGAGTCATGAATTACGGGAGAAAGGGAATCCTCCTTGTATGATCCTCCCCCCGAGCTGGCACCCTTGGGAGAGTTCCGGTCCGGCGAGGGTGATGGTGTAGGGGTTTTAGGCTTTTCGCCCGCTCCTTGACGGAGGCTTTTGCTCTTGCGGTTCTTAGCCATTGCTGCTAAGATAATTGCAAGATGATCTTGGTTAGAAATTTGGCTTAAAGATTTTTGAAAGTCTTCCCCACAAACGGCGCCAAATTGTTTCGGGTGAAAACAATGGGACCTTGCCGAAGGTCCGCTGAAACGGAGAAGACTGGATTCGGTCCAAGTTATGTTGGGCCGAAGGTTTCCTGCACAGTAAACACACGTAAACTAGCCTCGGGGGTGTTGCCGAGGAAGGCCCCTCCGATGCTAAAGTCAGTACAATGTGTAGAAAGAGAACACTATGCAAGAGAATTAGTTGCTTGAGGCTTTGCTTGAATATATGAGAATATCTGAATCAATGAATATTGATGGCTTTTATACCTCTTCATACATGGAGAGGTTGGGCCTTAGCCCAATTGGCTTGCTTTGAGGGCTGACCTTTGACTTTAGCACAATTGGAGAGTTGAACCTTGACCTTGGGCTTTTAATTGGATCATTTAATGCCTAGGCCCAATTGGACTAAATTGGACCCAAACAACGGGTATTTGTTTACAAAAGAGCCAAAAAAAAAATGATAGTTGTATACAAATTTTCCTATATAAATCTGGTTTTTAATCTTATCAATAAAGGTAACTTTTAAAAAGTGTTTGGTTTAACTTACTGAAATCAATACTCCGTACTAAATAAATTTTAAGTACACACGCAAGGTTGAAGATTGTGATAATTGGTATGAAAACTGACATTGTTTGTATGTCTCATAATGGTTTAAATGGTTTTTTCATCAATTTTAAAAAAATTAATCACTAAAACACGAAAACTAAAATAATTGATGAACAATGAGCTTTAATACCATTGTAAATATCATCAACAATATATACAATTTTTTAATTAGGTCCCCAACAACTCAAGAACATGACTTTTCTAAGAGATTCCTCAGATTGCTTCAATTTCTCATCTCTAATTTTCTGAGAAATTACAGAAGAAGAAGACCCAGAAATCTTTTTAGCTTGAGAATAAGATCTAACATTATTTTTAGCATGATTTTGAAGAGATCTTATAGTATAATTCCACCTTGCATAACCTTGATCTTTCATCCCTTCTACTGCTGCTACTATTATCCATGCTCTGCTTTTTACTGAACTCATTTTTACAAGTAGTAATTTTATGAGTAATTTTAAGAGGAAATTGGGTGTTTTTATTTCGTTGGATTTATGATTTAAATTGTTGAAAGTTCGATGATTTAGAATGGTAGATGAAATTGGGTTTTATAAAGGGGCATAAAAGAGGGAAGAGATAGTAAAGGTAGAGCCAAGACGAGGTAGTTGTTTTGGGGAATACCGAAGGAAGAGATACCCCTGGTTTATAGGACATACCATTGTCCTCATTAGTTTACTCCATCCGGAGTATAAATAAACTATAAAGTATGGAGTATGGTTTCCCATGATGTTCAAAATTAGAGGCGTCAAAAGTACATTTGATCCGACTCGATCCAAAATCGACCCGAAAAATATTCGATGCGGATGTAGACTCGCATGGACATAATAATTTAGCATGATTCAAGTTTAAAATTGACCCGACCGACTCGACCCGACCTAACCTCATCAGACTTGTTCGATCATTTGATTTGACACCTCTATTCAAAAACGTCTTTGAATTATGTCTCCACCAAACAATCCGATCGTACACACCCATATGGCCATTATATGCTCGTATGAAATTTTTTACTCCAATCGCTGTTAGAGTAAAGGGAGTAAAAGACGTGTTGTTTGGTCGAATTATTGCTTTTCTAGATTGGTTAATTTACTCCATGGATAGGTTGTGGTTTATGCTTATCATATTTGTTCACGGGTTGGTGTAGAGTAGACTTTTTACATATAAGAGAAAAAACTTACCCAAAAAGAAAACGTGTCAACTTAAAATAAGCTTCTAAAAAAAATTCATGTGATCTTTTTTACTTGACCTTTTATTTTATTATTTTTTTTTCATTTTTTAGCAAGCTTGTCAATCCAAAACTTTAACTATCAATAACTATAACTTTCCACAAGTAAAAATTATAAAAGTTGTATATTATGATAGTACCCCCTCCGTTTTTAAATACTTCCTCCACTTTTCTTTTTTTGGCCGTTTTAAAATACATACTCTATTTCCTTATTTGAAAAGCTTTTACAATACAATATTTAATTCATTTCTTTTACATAGTGGACCCAACATAAATAATATGTTATTAATTTCATATTCGATTTCTCTTCTCTAATTCTCAACTACTTTGATTTTTACATTTTTTGTATTCCTCCCTCTACTCCACTACCTCCATATTTTATTACTTTTTTCAATTTCTCCTGAAACTCCGCACATGGAGAAATAGAGCAAATATTTAAAAAAGGAGGAAGTATTTAACTATTTATAAAGACGAATTTAAAAATATCCAACATGAATATATTTTTCCTTACATATTATTCACAAAAAATGGACAAAACGGGGGCATTGAATAGTCTAAATTCAAAGCGGGTCAAGTAAAAAAGAACGGAAGAAGTACGTGTCAACTAAAAAAATCAACTAAAAAAATGGAGGCAAATATTATTTTTGTTAAATTACTCCATACGGATAGATAGGTAACAATCCTTTTGGTCAACAACGTCCAAAATATGATCATTAGCATTTAGCTCATACTTCCTTTGTCCCTTATTAATACTCTCTCTGTTTTTAAATACTTGTTCCATTTCTTTATGTGCTGCTCTATTTCTCCATGCACGAAATTTTAGGAGAAATGGAAGAAAGTCATAAAATTTGGAGATAGTGGGGGTAGGTGGAAGAATAAAAGTTAGTAAAAAGTAAAACTAGTTGAGAGAATTGGAAGAGGGATGAAATTATTAAAATATCATTTGTATTGGGTTAATTAGTTGATAAAAATGAATCAAATATAGTAAAAACTTTTCAAATTAGGAAATGGAGCAAGTATTTAAAACGACCGGAAAAGAAAAGTGGAACGAGTATTTAAAAACGGAGGGAGTAGTTCCTTTGGCTAAATTTTAGTTCCAAAATGTTCACCCCATTTACATTTTTCAAAAACCATTAATATTAATTTTTTTTTACCAAAATTCCCTCCAATTTGCAATAATATTTGTCCAAATTTAACTCTTCATGTAAGTTTTGTTTTTCTATATATTTATATTACTTTCTCTCTTTACTCTTTTTGCACACGCAATGTAAATATATCTTTCCAATATACTTTTACTAATTCTTATTTATGTTTATTAATTCTTGTGAAAATTGCCAATAAAGCACCATCAATAAGGGATAGAGGGAGTATTGCATCAGTAAAAATATTAAAGTAATCTTATTAAATTGAGCAAAAATGATACTCCCTCCGTTCCCGATTGATAGTCACTTTTGGCTTTTTTTGTAATTCAAAATGTTAGTCACATTTGTTTTTTTTCAAGTACCATTAATATTATTTTTTTATCAAAATTCTCTAACATTTGCAAAAATATTTGTGCAAATTTAACTTTCCCATGTAGTTTAATTACTTTCTCTCTCTACTTTTTTGCATACCCAATGTAAATTTACTTTTTCAATGTACTTTCTTTAATTCTCCTTAATTCCCGTGAAATTTTTAGCAAAAATGACTATCAATAGGGGACGGAGGGAGTATTAAAGGAGAATAAGGGTCTGTTCATATTTACTGAACTGAAATGAACTGAACTGAACTGAACTGATTAGAGCTGAACTAAACTGAACTGAACTGAACTGAACTGAAAAATTAAAATGCATAAAACTATATGAAAATGTTTATGAAAATTAATGATAATATATATAGTGGATTGTGAAAAATATAAAAGTGTTTTAAAAATAACTCTGTATTTTAAATTATTATATTTTAAATTATTAAATTATTAAATTTTTGTGTATTATATTTTAAATATATATATATATATTTAAATTAGTATAATTATTATTTTTATTTTTATTTTTATCATTATTATTTTTTTTTATTATTATTGTTATTATTATTATTGTTATTATTTATATTATTATTGTCGTTGTTGTAATATGCTAAAACATCTAAAACAAAAAAATTAAGAACTGAGTTGAACTGAACTGAAAATAAGTAAATATGAACAGGCCCTAAAAGTACTTTTGAGTGTCTTTCCAAAAAAAAAAAAAAAAAAAAAAAAAAAAAACCTCTTATGAGTGAATTTAAAATGAATGTATTTGTGTAGGATGCGTATCCTCTTCCGTCTCACAACAACAACAACAAAAGACGAGTATCCTCTATCTATCATCGATCAACGACCTAATGTTATAATCAAAACGTCAAGCTTCAATAGATACCATATAATTATACATTAACCTTTACCATGTTTTTCCATTACAAATCATAAAGATCCAAATTACCAATAGCAGTGCCATACTATCAACACTTAATCTGCTCATATTAAGTGATTAAATTAATTGCACAAAAGTTTAGTACTTAAAAGATTATCAATTTAAGATTCATTTTTTTTTTTTTTTAAGAATTTAAGATTCATTTCTTTAGTACACTACAATCATATTTATAACTAAAAATGTTAATATCCTAGCTGGTGCTAGTATCATTTTGATTGATTAAGTTTAATCGTCTACTTCTATTTTGGAAAATTTGTTAGAAACTATCTATTTTTGGGGCTAATAGTTAAATAGCGCCTGAATAATAATAATAATAATAATAATAATAATAATAATAATAATAATAATAATAATAATAATAATAAATCCCTATAGTATGGTTCATCTTCATAAGTTAGACTTCATAAATTATCAAAGGTGCGAATTTTGGCTAATTAAAACAATGATCAAACAACCAAATATGAGACCAAAAAAACTTGATTAAACACTATTTATATAACAAATATACAATCAAGATTATACAAATACAAGATTAAGAAGGACCCCAGCAATTCAAGTACATAACTTTCTTAAGAGATTCCTCAGATTCTCTCAATTTCTCATCCCTAAAATTCTGAGAAATAACAGAAGAAGAAGACCCAGAAAGCTTTTTAGCTTGAGAATAAGATCTAATATTATTCTTAACATGTTGATTAACTGACTTTACTGCATAATTCCACTTTGCATAACCTTGATTTTTCATCCCTTCTACTGCTGCTACTATTATCCATGCTCTGCTTTTTACTGAACTCATTTTTTTATTATTATTTTTTTTAATAAGAAATTTTAATTTTAGAAATTCGGGAATTTCTTTTTTTAATTTTTTGGAGGAAGTTTGATTCATTTGATTGAAATTATGGTGAAGATGTATTTATAGAAGAAGAGTGAATTGAATAGTGGGGTTGTTTTGGTAAAAACAAGAGGAATGGAACCCCTGGTTTTTGGATGGAAAGTGGGGTCCATTATTAATAATTATGGGGCAATTAAAGTGGGTGTTAAAAAAAGATAAGATGGGGTCCACAAAAGGCAAGAACAATGAAAGGGCAGTTTGATGAAATGTCCCAAAATTGGTAGGACTGATTTAGGTGAGATTTGGATAAGGTGAGACTTTACTTACGTGTGACTGTGTGAGAATCTTGGTTTATATAATTGTATTTTTTTAAGTGTACTTGGATCTAATTGTCCCCCTAAGCATACTCTTAATTTAGTCATGCCTTGGGGAAATGGGGAAGTAGTGTAAGGTTTAACTGTTGCACGTGCGCGCATATGTACATAGTAATAAAAAAAAAGTTGTGGCTAAGATTTTATCATGGAGATTTCCGAGATAAAAACTCGTACAAATGATCAATGATAATTACCTTGGATTTGATAGATAAAGCACTAGCCAATCTTTACCCTCTTATGCTTGTGTGTAGTTTGAGTATTAATGATTTATCACGTATAATTAGTATTGGGTTGTCCTTTTATGGTCGATATAATATGATCTTATGAGCATGAATGCAAGATGGTGGGATTATTTTGCCCAGTCAAGCCACGATATGAAAATTTTGTACCAAATGAGTCACGATGGGAGGCATATTCAGTTTTTAACCAAATTATACAACTACGAAATGTTTAATGAAGCTCATCATGCCAATTGTGAAAGGGTTCATAGAATAGCTAACATGACCCTTCCTGAATTCCAATAGTTAGGTTCTGTTCTCATATGATTATTTTCAATTCAGTTCAGCTCTAATAAGTTCAGTTCAGTTTAGATCAGCTGTTAATTTCCTCCTCTTTATAAATTATTCAGTTCAGTTTAGTTCAGCTCTAATAAGTTCAGTTTAGTTCAGCACTAATAAGTTCAGTTTAGTTCAGCTGATTTCAGTCAATGAAAACAGGCCCCTTTGCAAATGCTTACCAGTCACCACCCCTTTCTTTTCCCTCCCTCTAAAAAGATGTTGTACTAGTTGTTGGGTGTTAGAGGTTATATGTCAATAATTAGGGTTTTGATTAAAATTAAATGAACTTTAATACTATTTTTTTAAAAAATAAATAAAAATTAGTGTTGTTCTTACTTCAAAAAGTACATATAGCTGTCCAAGAATACTACTTCACCCAATACCATTTATCTTTAGTGAATATTTAACTTTAATCAAAACTATTAGAAGACATAATTACAAACAAAGGGCCAGTCCCTATCAAACTTTATTTAATTTATTTATTTTAATTATAGTTTCACAAATTATTTATACCACTTATTTTCTTTTTCATTTCTATAATACTAGTACTCGCCTAAAGTGATAGACAAAATAGATGCAACTTGCTACCAGCCCCACAATTCCAAATTACAATTATTACAGATGAAATAGAAAACAATAGAAAATTTTGTATAAAATGCATTTTTCCCAAACTAATGATTATCTAGCACTTGCCTTAACATAGTGCTTTGATAATTTCATTATAAATATACTACCTCCGTTACAGATTATGTGCAACGATTTGACATAAAGCAGAGAGGGAAAATGTCTAATCGTTGCATATAACCTGTAACGGAGGTAGTAATTAAATAACTTAAAAATACCTTTTTATATGGAAGGAGCCCAGTTAATCATCATAATAAATAAAAATTATTTATCTAATGTCATTTTTAAATAAATCAGCAAAAAAAAAAAGTCTCAATCAACTTTTTATTTTCGTGTATATATATATATATGTGTGTGTGTGTGTTTGTGTGTATATATATATATATCATGAAGATCCTTTCTTCTTTCATATGCTCTTATAAATTTATAATACAATTCTTTCAATGTTAATCTAAGGGGCCGTTTGGTTCGCGCGGGGGAATCGGAATGGAATGAACAAAGGGAATGTAGGAGAATGGAATGAAACCCTTTCCAAGTACTGTGTTGTTTGGTTTTCAATAAACAAAGGGAATCACCACCACCACCACACATCCCCTTTCTTCACTTTTCCAGCCACCAGGAGCCACCCTACCGCCCAGCCACAACGTCGACGGAAATCGGCAGCCCTGGGCGCACCTCCCCCACCCCTCGCGGCCCCTAACCTCCCCGGAAAAAACTTCCACCACCACGCAAAAACCCTAGAAAACACCATCCCTCCCCTTAAAAACGCCGGCCGACCTTCCCCCCACCCTCGAAACCCTAGCCGCTAGGGTTTCGAGGGTGGGGGGAAGGTCGGCCGGCGTTTTTAAGGGGAGGGATGGTGTTTTCTAGGGTTTTTGCGTGGTGGTGGAAGTTTTTCCGGGGAGGGGAGGTGTTTTCGAGGGGAGAGGTGGGGGAGGTGCGCGGGCTCTGGCGAGTTGTGGGGGAAGTGCGGCGAGTCCGGCGATGGGGACTAGGTCCGTGGCGAGGTGGTTGGGCTAGTTCCGGCAAGTACAACGGTGGTGGGTATGGTGGCTAGGGAAAGGGAATGGGAAAGTCTAGGGGGGGGGGTTGGGGAATCAATGTAGACTAAAAATGGGTGAACTCAAAAATAAAAATGGGTAAAGGGAATCAAAAAAGTGACAAACAAACAACAACAAAGGGAATGATATCAGTTCATTCCGATTCCCTTTGATTATTAACCCCAACCAAACGGCCCCTAATATTATTGTACATATAACTATATAAGTTGTCATTTTGAAATTCATGCACACATCTAGGCATGGAGCATATAGGATGTAATAGCTCTAAATTAATTTAACGTAATTATTATTCGTTGCTAATCATAATATAAGTCGGAAAAACTAATGAAATAAACCATCTATTAATTTATAACAAAAGATGTAATATACATTATGTACATATATTTCATAAATCATAATAATAAAGTTTATGATACAATTAATTGGTACCCCAACAATTCAAATACATGCTTTACTACAGAGGCACAGATTGCAGATGTCTTTACTAAGATCATACCTTCTTCTAAGTTCACAGACCTTCTTCACAAACTAGGCATGTTCAAGTCCATGCTTAGTTTGCGGGGGGATGTTGAGATAAGCCTTGGAGAAATAGTGCGTCACACGTCAGCAACAAAAGCTATAACTGATTTCTCCACTAATTAAATCGGTTATTAAAAAAAACTTCCAGCTCAGCTCTTCATTGATAATTAGTAGTTGTTATATTTGATAATATGTATAAATACTCTGCTAGCTTTTTCCTTCATTAATTACTTCAATACAATTTTTCCTCTTCTGGAACTTTCTCTGTAATTCTCTCTCTAAGTCTTCAATGGCGATTTTCTGGGTTTCACCATTGTTGGTGAATGAAGCTTGATTTCAGTTTCTATCATGGTATCAGAGCTTGCGTAGCTCATTGCGATTCCTTTGCCGCGTTCTTCCTCATCATCTGTTCGTTCTTCGTTGCTCGATTATTCGCTCTTTTGCGATCTCATTTGGTCAGTTCTTCTGTTCTCATTTTTCTTCAGTTGATTGCGATTATCGGTGCTTTGATTGTAGTTGTGTTTTCTGGTGGTGATTCTGCTTATTCTGCTATTGTATGTTCTCTATTGTTTGTTCTTCCCCAATTTTGACCTAATTTTTCGAATCAATTCTTCGATTTCTGCTTGTTTTTGCTTCGATTCTTCTTTTTTCAAACACAAAACATAAAACACTATGGCACTTAATCCACCTATTGTAGATCCTTCTCAGGATCCTACTTTACCTTTCTACTTACATCCGTCAGACAATCCTGGTATGAAGTTAGTTTCTGAAAAATTTGATGGAAATGCTTATGGTGATTGGAAGAGGTCAATGTTGATTAGTTTGTCAGCCAAAAACAAGCTAGGTTTTGTTGATGGATCGATTATTAAGCCTGCTCCTGATTCACCTTCTCTTCGTGCTTGGGAGAGGTGTAATAGCATGATTATATCTTTGATGTTAGGTGTTTTAGATCAAAATCTTGCTCGAAGTGTGCTCTATTTCTCCACTGCTAGAGAAATCTGGCAAAACTTAGAAGAACGATATGGTGCATCCTCTGGAACAATGCTGTTTGCTCTTGAACATGCTATCACTGAGATTAAGCAGGGAACAGATGATGTTTCTACGTTTTACACCAAAATCAAGAGGTTATGGGATCAGTTGGATGATGTAGATCCTTTACCTCTATGTCATTGTGCTAATTGTACTTGCAATATAGCTCAACGCTTGCTTAAGTCTCAACAAGACAAACGTCTAGTGCAGTTCTTGATGAAACTGAATGATGGCTTTGAAGTGGTTAGAGGCAGTATTCTCTTGATGTAGCCACTACCTCTGATTTCACATGCTTATAGATTTCTTATGCAAGAGGAAAAGCATAGGCAACTCTATAGGGATCCCAAGGATAATGCTATGAGAACATCCGATGAGTCCATGGCTTTTGCTGTGAATAGGCCACGATTTCAGGACAGGTGGAATAATAGACCTCAGTACAATAATTCTCAGAATAATTTTTCTCAGAGAGCTTCTGCTAGTTCAGGTTTTTCTGATAATAGGAGGAACATTAACTATTACTGTGATCATTGTAAGCTTCCTGGTCACAGTATGCAGAGGTGTTACAAGCTGAATGGTTATCCTCCTCACTTTAAGTTTGATAAGGGCAAGAAGATAGCAGCTACAGTTCAGAGTTCAGATTCTGATTATGATTTTGATGATCAAGGAAGGTTATTGGTTGCTCCTGAACAGGCTCAGCAGTACATTGACTTCATCTCAAGGCAGAACCACTATGATCAGCATTCTATTGGAAGGTCTTCAGGAGCTGCAAAGTCTGCTAATGTGGCAGGTACACTTTGTTTGTTGTCTTCTAAAACTGATTGTTGGATCATTGACAGTGGAGCCACTGATCATATCAGTAATGATAAGTCTAAGTTTATTTCTTGGACTGAGTTTGTTGGTAAGGATAATTTCATTACCATTCCTGATGGCAGAAGAGTTCATATTTCACATAAGGGAGATGTGAAGATCACTGATAATATAATCCTTAAAGATGTTCTCTATGTGGCAGATTTTAAGTTCAATTTAATCTCCATACATAAAATTTGTCTGGATATGAAATGCAATGCTGTGTTCACTGATGATGCTTGTATTCTCCAGAACTCTTCAATGAAGCCTCTTGTTCTTGGTAAGTGCACAGTGGGCTGTACTACATGGATGAGTCTATTCATGGAAAATTAGCTGCTGTCACTTCCTTGACTTCTCAAGATATCACCAATACTAAGTTGTGGCATTTAAGGATGGGTCATCTACCTGTTCAACAACTTGAGTATGTTTCTTCATTTCCTGTTTCTTCTAATAAACCTTGTTTAGGTGATTCTTTCTGTCAGATATGTCCTGCAGCAAGACAGAACAGACTTTCTTTCAGTACTAGCTTAATAAAAACCTCAGCACCTTTTCAAATTCTTCATTTGGATATGTGGGGTCCATACAAGGAGGTTACTCATACTGGCTGTAAGATCTTTCTTACTATAGTTGATGATTTTTCTCGAATGACTTGGATTTTTTTCATGAAATATAAGTCTGATGTTAACATTGTTTTTTCTAACTTTGTGACTTTTATTGAAAATCAGTTTAGTTGTTCTGTGAAATGTGTAAGAACTGATAATGCTAGGGAATTATGTGAAGGTGATCTTAAGTCTTTCTATATTAGTAAAGGGATAGAGCATCATAGAAGTTGTCCTGATACCCCCCAGCAGAATGGGGTGGTAGAGAGGAAGCATAAGCATCTTCTTGAGACCTCTAGGGCATTGTTCTTTCAATCTAGACTTCCTATTTCTTATTGGAATGAATGTGTACTCTGTGCTGCTCATATTATAAACAGAATGCCTTTGAAAGTCTTATTGAATCTTAGCCCATATGAGAAGTTGTATGGTAATAAACCTGATCTTACATATATGAGAGTTTTTGGATGCTTATGTTTTGTGTCAACTTCTAAGCAAGGAAGAACCAAGTTTGATCCCAAGGCTGCTCCCCATGTTTTTCTTGGTTATTCTCCAGGACAAAAAGGTTACAAAGTGCTTGATCTTGATACATATACCATTCATACTTCAAGGGATGTTGTCTTTAAAGAACAACATTTCCCATTTCACTTATCTCATTCTTCTTCTACTTCTCCTTCTCCATTCTTTCTTCCCACTATTACCACTTATTCTGAATTTTGTGATGATGACATACCTGAAATTTTTCAGACTCTAGATATTTCTGTTCCTACACAAACAAATTCCATCCCAGATACAGATTCTATTCCTGATTCATCACCCATATATTCTTCTTCTCCTCCTCTTACTCCCACCAATTCTTCTTCCTTATCTCCCACAAACACTTCTCTACCTCTCTCTCCCACAAATTCTTCTCCTCTCTCTTCTTCTCTCATTTCTTCTCCACAGGCCAGCTCTGACACTCTACTTCCCACTGCTCTACTCAGGTCAAACAGACCTAGGAAGCCTCCAACTTACCTTAATAAGTATCACTGCTATAATTCAGCTTTACAGTTTCATTCTCATTGGTGCAACATGATCTCTTTCTCTGATTACTCTCCTGCACATCAAGCATTTATTGCTACAACTGAGAATTTTGTCGAACCAATTTCTTATAATGAGGATGTGAAAGATCCTATGTGGAAAGATGCAATGAATAAAGAGATTAAGGCCTTGGAAGATAATTGTACTTGGGTTCTTGTTGATTTACCAACTGGCAAAAGACCCATAGGCTGCAAATGGGTGTTCAAAATAAAGCTGAAAGCTGATGGTTCAGTTGAGAGATTTAAGGCTAGGTTGGTAGCCAAAGGTTTTACTCAAAAGCATGGGGTGGATTTCACTGAAACTTTTAGTCCTGTGGTTAAAATGTCCACTGTAAGATGCTTGATTGCTTTGGCTGCTCACAGATCTTGGTCTTTGTTCCAGTTGGATGTGAATAATGCTTTCCTTCATGGTGATCTCCATGAAGAGGTTTACATGCAGCTTCCTGAGGGGTATCCTTCTTCTCATGGTAAAGTTTGCAGACTTCTCAAGTCTCTTTATAGACTTAAGCAAGCTTCTCGTCAATGGTTTGCAAAGCTTGTTGCAGAATTGCAGCTTATGGGATTTACACAGTCCAGGAATGACTATTCTCTCTTTCTCAGATGGTCTTCTGGCTTGTTAATTGTGGCAGCTGTGTATGTTGATGACATCATCTTAACAGGTGATGATTTACAAGGCATTGCTTCTCTCAAGCTTCATCTTGATCATGTCTTTAATATTAAAGACCTTGGCAAACTAAGTTACTTTCTTGGCCTCGAGATTGGTTACTTGCCTTCTGGAATCACTCTTTCTCAGACTAAGTTCACCAGGGAGTTGCTAGCTTCTTCTGGTATTTCTGTCTTCAAGTCTGCTGTCACACCACTACCTTTGAACTTAAAGCTGAATTCTACTGATGGAGAATTATTTGCTGATCCTAGCTTATATAGAACCTTGGTGGGCAAGCTGAACTTTCTCACTCACACTAGGCCTGATCTGGCTTTTACAGTCCAACACTTGAGCCAATTTATGCAGTGTCCTCGAATGCCTCATTATAACGCTCTTGTGCATACTTTACACTATTTGGCTTCAACTGTTGGGCAGGGGATCTTGCTTCAAGCTTCAGATCAGTTGATATTACAAGCATTTTCAGATTCTGACTGGGGTGCTTGTCAAGACTCCAGGAGATCTGTTACAGGCTACATTTTGCTGTTGGGACATTCTCCAATTAGTTGGAAATCTAAGAAACAAGGTGTGGTTTCCAAGAGTTCAGCAAAAGCAGAGTATCGTGCACTATCAAATGCTGCAAGTGAGGTTGTCTGGATGGTAAGGCTGCTGGAAGAGCTAGGAGTTACAAGTCTCAAGCCTGTGACTCTATTCTGTGATAATCAGAGTTCAATTCATATAGCAAAGAATCCAGTGCAGCATGAACGCACAAAGCACATAGAAATTGATGTGCATTTTACACGAGATAAAGTTTTGGAGGGTCTATTGCAGATAGCTTATCTTCCTACAGAGGCACAGATTGCAGATGTCTTTACTAAGATCATACCTTCTTCTAAGTTCACAGACCTTCTTCACAAACTAGGCATGTTCAAGTCCATGCTTAGTTTGCGGGGGGATGTTGAGATAAGCCTTGGAGAAATAGTGCGTCACACGTCAGCAACAAAAGCTATAACTGATTTCTCCACTAATTAAATCGGTTATTAAAAAAAACTTCCAGCTCAGCTCTTCATTGATAATTAGTAGTTGTTATATTTGATAATATGTATAAATACTCTGCTAGCTTTTTCCTTCATTAATTACTTCAATACAATTTTTCCTCTTCTGGAACTTTCTCTGTAATTCTCTCTCTAAGTCTTCAATGGCGATTTTCTGGGTTTCACCATTGTTGGTGAATGAAGCTTGATTTCAGTTTCTATCATGGTATCAGAGCTTGCGTAGCTCATTGCGATTCCTTTGCCGCGTTCTTCCTCATCATCTGTTCGTTCTTCGTTGCTCGATTATTCGCTCTTTTGCGATCTCATTTGGTCAGTTCTTCTGTTCTCATTTTTCTTCAGTTGATTGCGATTATCGGTGCTTTGATTGTAGTTGTGTTTTCTGGTGGTGATTCTGCTTATTCTGCTATTGTATGTTCTCTATTGTTTGTTCTTCCCCAATTTTGACCTAATTTTTCGAATCAATTCTTCGATTTCTGCTTGTTTTTGCTTCGATTCTTCTTTTTTCAAACACAAAACATAAAACACTATGGCACTTAATCCACCTATTGTAGATCCTTCTCAGGATCCTACTTTACCTTTCTACTTACATCCGTCAGACAATCCTGGTATGAAGTTAGTTTCTGAAAAATTTGATGGAAATGCTTATGGTGATTGGAAGAGGTCAATGTTGATTAGTTTGTCAGCCAAAAACAAGCTAGGTTTTGTTGATGGATCGATTATTAAGCCTGCTCCTGATTCACCTTCTCTTCGTGCTTGGGAGAGGTGTAATAGCATGATTATATCTTTGATGTTAGGTGTTTTAGATCAAAATCTTGCTCGAAGTGTGCTCTATTTCTCCACTGCTAGAGAAATCTGGCAAAACTTAGAAGAACGATATGGTGCATCCTCTGGAACAATGCTGTTTGCTCTTGAACATGCTATCACTGAGATTAAGCAGGGAACAGATGATGTTTCTACGTTTTACACCAAAATCAAGAGGTTATGGGATCAGTTGGATGATGTAGATCCTTTACCTCTATGTCATTGTGCTAATTGTACTTGCAATATAGCTCAACGCTTGCTTAAGTCTCAACAAGACAAACGTCTAGTGCAGTTCTTGATGAAACTGAATGATGGCTTTGAAGTGGTTAGAGGCAGTATTCTCTTGATGTAGCCACTACCTCTGATTTCACATGCTTATAGATTTCTTATGCAAGAGGAAAAGCATAGGCAACTCTATAGGGATCCCAAGGATAATGCTATGAGAACATCCGATGAGTCCATGGCTTTTGCTGTGAATAGGCCACGATTTCAGGACAGGTGGAATAATAGACCTCAGTACAATAATTCTCAGAATAATTTTTCTCAGAGAGCTTCTGCTAGTTCAGGTTTTTCTGATAATAGGAGGAACATTAACTATTACTGTGATCATTGTAAGCTTCCTGGTCACAGTATGCAGAGGTGTTACAAGCTGAATGGTTATCCTCCTCACTTTAAGTTTGATAAGGGCAAGAAGATAGCAGCTACAGTTCAGAGTTCAGATTCTGATTATGATTTTGATGATCAAGGAAGGTTATTGGTTGCTCCTGAACAGGCTCAGCAGTACATTGACTTCATCTCAAGGCAGAACCACTATGATCAGCATTCTATTGGAAGGTCTTCAGGAGCTGCAAAGTCTGCTAATGTGGCAGGTACACTTTGTTTGTTGTCTTCTAAAACTGATTGTTGGATCATTGACAGTGGAGCCACTGATCATATCAGTAATGATAAGTCTAAGTTTATTTCTTGGACTGAGTTTGTTGGTAAGGATAATTTCATTACCATTCCTGATGGCAGAAGAGTTCATATTTCACATAAGGGAGATGTGAAGATCACTGATAATATAATCCTTAAAGATGTTCTCTATGTGGCAGATTTTAAGTTCAATTTAATCTCCATACATAAAATTTGTCTGGATATGAAATGCAATGCTGTGTTCACTGATGATGCTTGTATTCTCCAGAACTCTTCAATGAAGCCTCTTGTTCTTGGTAAGTGCACAGTGGGCTGTACTACATGGATGAGTCTATTCATGGAAAATTAGCTGCTGTCACTTCCTTGACTTCTCAAGATATCACCAATACTAAGTTGTGGCATTTAAGGATGGGTCATCTACCTGTTCAACAACTTGAGTATGTTTCTTCATTTCCTGTTTCTTCTAATAAACCTTGTTTAGGTGATTCTTTCTGTCAGATATGTCCTGCAGCAAGACAGAACAGACTTTCTTTCAGTACTAGCTTAATAAAAACCTCAGCACCTTTTCAAATTCTTCATTTGGATATGTGGGGTCCATACAAGGAGGTTACTCATACTGGCTGTAAGATCTTTCTTACTATAGTTGATGATTTTTCTCGAATGACTTGGATTTTTTTCATGAAATATAAGTCTGATGTTAACATTGTTTTTTCTAACTTTGTGACTTTTATTGAAAATCAGTTTAGTTGTTCTGTGAAATGTGTAAGAACTGATAATGCTAGGGAATTATGTGAAGGTGATCTTAAGTCTTTCTATATTAGTAAAGGGATAGAGCATCATAGAAGTTGTCCTGATACCCCCCAGCAGAATGGGGTGGTAGAGAGGAAGCATAAGCATCTTCTTGAGACCTCTAGGGCATTGTTCTTTCAATCTAGACTTCCTATTTCTTATTGGAATGAATGTGTACTCTGTGCTGCTCATATTATAAACAGAATGCCTTTGAAAGTCTTATTGAATCTTAGCCCATATGAGAAGTTGTATGGTAATAAACCTGATCTTACATATATGAGAGTTTTTGGATGCTTATGTTTTGTGTCAACTTCTAAGCAAGGAAGAACCAAGTTTGATCCCAAGGCTGCTCCCCATGTTTTTCTTGGTTATTCTCCAGGACAAAAAGGTTACAAAGTGCTTGATCTTGATACATATACCATTCATACTTCAAGGGATGTTGTCTTTAAAGAACAACATTTCCCATTTCACTTATCTCATTCTTCTTCTACTTCTCCTTCTCCATTCTTTCTTCCCACTATTACCACTTATTCTGAATTTTGTGATGATGACATACCTGAAATTTTTCAGACTCTAGATATTTCTGTTCCTACACAAACAAATTCCATCCCAGATACAGATTCTATTCCTGATTCATCACCCATATATTCTTCTTCTCCTCCTCTTACTCCCACCAATTCTTCTTCCTTATCTCCCACAAACACTTCTCTACCTCTCTCTCCCACAAATTCTTCTCCTCTCTCTTCTTCTCTCATTTCTTCTCCACAGGCCAGCTCTGACACTCTACTTCCCACTGCTCTACTCAGGTCAAACAGACCTAGGAAGCCTCCAACTTACCTTAAAAAGTATCACTGCTATAATTCAGCTTTACAGTTTCATTCTCATTGGTGCAACATGATCTCTTTCTCTGATTACTCTCCTGCACATCAAGCATTTATTGCTACAACTGAGAATTTTGTCGAACCAATTTCTTATAATGAGGATGTGAAAGATCCTATGTGGAAAGATGCAATGAATAAAGAGATTAAGGCCTTGGAAGATAATTGTACTTGGGTTCTTGTTGATTTACCAACTGGCAAAAGACCCATAGGCTGCAAATGGGTGTTCAAAATAAAGCTGAAAGCTGATGGTTCAGTTGAGAGATTTAAGGCTAGGTTGGTAGCCAAAGGTTTTACTCAAAAGCATGGGGTGGATTTCACTGAAACTTTTAGTCCTGTGGTTAAAATGTCCACTATAAGATGCTTGATTGCTTTGGCTGCTCACAGATCTTGGTCTTTGTTCCAGTTGGATGTGAATAATGCTTTCCTTCATGGTGATCTCCATGAAGAGGTTTACATGCAGCTTCCTGAGGGGTATCCTTCTTCTCATGGTAAAGTTTGCAGACTTCTCAAGTCTCTTTATAGACTTAAGCAAGCTTCTCGTCAATGGTTTGCAAAGCTTGTTGCAGAATTGCAGCTTATGGGATTTACACAGTCCAGGAATGACTATTCTCTCTTTCTCAGATGGTCTTCTGGCTTGTTAATTGTGGCAGCTGTGTATGTTGATGACATCATCTTAACAGGTGATGATTTACAAGGCATTGCTTCTCTCAAGCTTCATCTTGATCATGTCTTTAATATTAAAGACCTTGGCAAACTAAGTTACTTTCTTGGCCTCGAGATTGGTTACTTGCCTTCTGGAATCACTCTTTCTCAGACTAAGTTCACCAGGGAGTTGCTAGCTTCTTCTGGTATTTCTGTCTTCAAGTCTGCTGTCACACCACTACCTTTGAACTTAAAGCTGAATTCTACTGATGGAGAATTATTTGCTGATCCTAGCTTATATAGAACCTTGGTGGGCAAGCTGAACTTTCTCACTCACACTAGGCCTGATCTGGCTTTTACAGTCCAACACTTGAGCCAATTTATGCAGTGTCCTCGAATGCCTCATTATAATGCTCTTGTGCATACTTTACACTATTTGGCTTCAACTGTTGGGCAGGGGATCTTGCTTCAAGCTTCAGATCAGTTGATATTACAAGCATTTTCAGATTCTGACTGGGGTGCTTGTCAAGACTCCAGGAGATCTGTTACAGGCTACATTTTGCTGTTGGGACATTCTCCAATTAGTTGGAAATCTAAGAAACAAGGTGTGGTTTCCAAGAGTTCAGCAAAAGCAGAGTATCGTGCACTATCAAATGCTGCAAGTGAGGTTGTCTGGATGGTAAGGCTGCTGGAAGAGCTAGGAGTTACAAGTCTCAAGCCTGTGACTCTATTCTGTGATAATCAGAGTTCAATTCATATAGCAAAGAATCCAGTGCAGCATGAACGCACAAAGCACATAGAAATTGATGTGCATTTTACACGAGATAAAGTTTTGGAGGGTCTATTGCAGATAGCTTATCTTCCTACAGAGGCACAGATTGCAGATGTCTTTACTAAGATCATACCTTCTTCTAAGTTCACAGACCTTCTTCACAAACTAGGCATGTTCAAGTCCATGCTTAGTTTGCGGGGGGATGTTGAGATAAGCCTTGGAGAAATAGTGCGTCACACGTCAGCAACAAAAGCTATAACTGATTTCTCCACTAATTAAATCGGTTATTAAAAAAAACTTCCAGCTCAGCTCTTCATTGATAATTAGTAGTTGTTATATTTGATAATATGTATAAATACTCTGCTAGCTTTTTCCTTCATTAATTACTTCAATACAATTTTTCCTCTTCTGGAACTTTCTCTGTAATTCTCTCTCTAAGTCTTCAATGGCGATTTTCTGGGTTTCACCATTGTTGGTGAATGAAGCTTGATTTCAGTTTCTATCAACTTATCATCCCTAATAATCTTATTGGATAACACACTCGAGGCTGAAGAATTTACACTTTTACCCTTAGAATATGACCGAATATTGCTCTTAACTTGTTGATGAAGAGACCTAATTTGGTAATTCCACTTTGAGAATCCTTCATCTTTTAAGCTTTCTACCGAGGCAATGCTTCCTGCTGCAATCAAGCATCTTGTAGTCATCTTTATAAACTTAAAAAATGTGAATGAAAACTATATGATAAAATTTTAGAATATGATGGTGATGATGATAAAAATTTGCTAGTTATTTCTGTTTTTGTTGAATGATATTAATTGCTTGTATATATAGGAAATTAGGGTGGAATACTTGAATGCTATTGGTTGTTAAAGAGATAAGAGGTGTGGGATGTCACGTGTGTTTGGTTGTACGGATAGAGTGATTAATAGCATAGGATTAGGAGGATGAGTCATAAAATGAAATTAAGTTTATATGTACGTGTCTTGGTTACATATTGCCACTGTCTATTACAGTATTACCCATATAATTGAGCCATTTTTTATGGGTTTTTTGTGAGGTATTATAGGGCTCACTAGTGGCTCACTAGTCACTACTGTCTCCCTTCAACCCCCTATAGGACAAACCCATGTGACGATGGATATTCTAAGTGGTATACAGGTCGTTTGAATTGACTTTAATTCTCTAGTTTTAGTCAGATTGAGTTATTTATACGATAATTATATTTTAAGTTGTTTTTCTTGAATTATTATTATTTAATGATTTTTTTCCCTGTATTGATGACATGTTGAGTTCTGTAAATGTTAATTGTTACAGTTATATATAAAAAAATTGAGAGAATACTGACTTGATTAAAGCATTTTTCCTTAGCTTGGATAAGTTTTTCAAATGTTTTGAAAGTAAAATAATATAAGTGAATGTGAATTTAGCATTTTTACATGGAAAAGATTTTAAAGTGATTTGGATGTAAAATACGTTGTAAATGCTAGGAGTTAAAGTACATACAAAGTTTTAACAACTGTAGTAAGGACCAAGGAAGAACCAAATAAATAAGTCTTACATATCTTTTACTTGGATTATATACATACATTATCAATATATCACACATATACAATGTTTTTAATTGTAATTGATGACATATAATTTGTTACACAAATTCATCAATTTATAATAGCCCTAGCTAGCCTAATATTACAATCAAATTTAGTTTATAATAACTTAAGCTCCACCACAGCCTGTTGAACTTTTTCAAGCAGTGAAAGTTTTTCTTTAAGCTCTTCTACTTCCTTATTAGTGATTTCCAAACTAGCCATGTCGGATAATGCTTCAGCTTCATAGGATGAAATTTCATTTTTGAGTTTCAATATCTGTTGTAATTTCATTCCCATGTCTTGTTGAGACCTTTCGGATTCAAAGAGTTGTTTCTTAAGCCTCTCTTCTTGCTTTCTCGATCCTTCTAAGCTAGTTTTGACAAACAAACCCTCTGCCCTAATGAACCGAAGTTGCTTCTCAAGATCCAAAACCTTTTGCAATTTTGTGTTCATATCTTTATGCAAATTTTCACAACTTTGTAGGTGTTCTTTAAGCATATTTTCCTCCTTTTTTGACACTTCAAATTCACCCTTTGTTGTTAATACCTTATTCTTAGTATCCTCAAGTTCTTTCTCAAGCTTCATTACCATATTCAATTTCATTTCCATTTCTTCTAAGATTTTTTCTAGACCTAAAAGTTGTTCATTGAGCATATCTTCCTCCTTTTTCGATGCTTCCAAATCAACTTTGGTAGACAACACTTCCTCATTGACACATACAACTTGTTTTTCTAACTCGATTACCTTTCGCAACTTCATTTCTACATCCTCTTCAATTTTTCGTCGATTTAAAAGTTGTTCTTTTAGTTCTTCTTCCTCTTTTCTCGATGCTTCTAAGTTACACTTACTTGTTAATGCCTCAACCTTAGTTGAAGCAAATTGTTCTTGGAGTTCCCCTAACTTCAACAATTTATCTATCATAAGTTCACGATCCAAATTATCTTCTGTAAGCTTTTCTACCCTTTGGTTCAACCTTTCCAAATGAGCCCTAGTAGATGATAAGTCATTATGAGTTGATGAAAGTTGTCCTTCAAGCTGGCTGATCCTATTTTTAGCTTCTTTTACTTTTTTATTACCGCCGGTTAAAAAATCAAAAAAACCCATATTTTTGCTGAGTTTGAAAAAAGTAAGATTGAAAACGCCAAAAGGGTATAAAATGTGTAACTTTTGGCTTAAATCAACAAAATCTAGCTAAGAAATTATCATACTAAAAGTTGTAACAAAGATTTCGCTTAAATTAAGAAGAAGGGGTAAAAATTACATTTGGTTATATGTAACTATGTAAGGCAAAATAATTAGCGTATGTATTCTTTCCTTGTGCATAAGTTAATTCCTAGATTATATTGAATGATGAAACATATATTCTTTTCCAAACTACTTGCCACCAGAATCGAATAAATTCTGAAATATGAATAGTAAGAAAACTCAATTAAGAAGGCCAAATTATGTAATATAATAACAAATATACAATTGATACAATATAGTCAAAACCCCAAGGCGGGTGACCCAACTAGCTACATGCGAATTAACTTAGTTGGTAAAGTCTTAAAAATAATCGTAAAACTTTACAACAAGTCTCGTCCACATCATTAATTAACGAAACTCTAATTAGGACCCCAACAGCTTAAGTACATGACTTTCCTAAGAGATTCTTCAGATTGATTCAATTTATCATCTCTAATTTTTTGGGGAATTAGAGAAGAAGATCTAACATTATTCTTAGCATGTTGATGAAGAGATCTTATTGCATGATTCCACCTTGCATAACCTTGATCTTTCATTCCTTCTATTGCTGCTAGTACTATCCATGCTCTGCTTTTTACTGAACTCATTCTTTATTTAATTAGAAACTTAAAATGTAAATTTTTTAGATTTGGGAATTATTTTGGAAAATTGTTGATTAATTTGATTGAAAGTTTGTAGCTTGAGAAATGGTTGATTAATGGGGGTTTAGGTTGGATTTATAAAGGAGGAAAAAGATGGTGATTTTTTTTTTTTTTGACACAAAAGATGGTGATTTGTTGATTGTATTGGCAAATACAGAAGAAAGGGTGCCCCTGGTTTTTTGGGACAGTTAATGTGAAAGTGAGCACTGAAATACAGCCAAAAAAAGGTTCATTGAATTAAGAGAAATTCAGAAATAGCATAATTTTTGTAATTTAGCCATATTATAATATGGATAAGGTGGGATTACGTGTGAGAATCTTTTATAATTTTGGAAGTATTATCTTACACTAAATGAATTACATAAAGGGTCGTAAACAGCATCAATTGAAACATTTGTCTTCTTCTATTGGGAGAATTAAGTGAATTGCAATTTAATCAATACTTATGTTTAGAGCACCAACATTGATTAAACCAATGTTTATGAATAGTGAGTTCAAATGTTATACAGAGACGCTTCAAAAAGAGGAAAAAAAACAAGAGAGTAATATAAAGCCCAATCCAAGACATAATAACATCAATTTGATATATCTATTGTAAATTTTAGTCTTGTTACTTAATACATGTCGATTAATAAATGATCATATTATAATGATAGAGAGCGAGTATGAGAAAAGTTGAAGAAAATAGATATCCAACAAAATGAGTATTACGCTCAATTACAATATATACTTTTAGTGATAAAATAGTCTATCATTTGCCTTTTTTGTACCAAAATCAAATGTCATAATTTTTAATTGTTTATTTATTGAAAAATTTGCAAATTGCAGCCATTTAAAGTTCGTATTTTGCAAATAGCAGCCATTTAAAAAAAATTGCAAATTGCAGCCTTAAAGTTCATATAAATTGTAAATTGTAGCCCGATTTAACTTTTTCATCGGTTTACTAGTTGAAAAATCTTCGATTAAGGTTTTAGGAGCCATTTTAGCCCTTAGGGATCCGAATTGAGCTCGTAATTAGCAAAAAAATAACGTAAGTATCTCGTTTTGCGTAACAAAAATGTATTGATTTGTGGAAACTGTAAATATGAGACACTTTCGTTATTTTTTTGCTAATTTCGAGCTCAATTCAGGTCCCTAAGGGCTAAAATGACCCCTAAAACCTTAACCGAAGATTTTTCAACATGTAAACCGATGAAAAAATTGAATCGGGCTGCAATTTACAATTTATACGAACTTTTGGGTTGCAATTTGCAAAAAAAATTTAAATGGCTACAATTTGCAAAATACGAACTTTAAATGGCTGCAATTTGCAAATTTTCCTTATTTATTTATATAACTTCATTTCTACCAAATTGTCTAGAATATGTCTACTCTTAAATCAAAATGGCTGATTGGCCGAATTTGGAGTTGATAAAAAAAAAAGGGTTTCCTTCCTTTAAATATTACTACTCCCTCTGCCTAATTGTTTGCTCCACCATCCTTTTTAAGGTGTCCCAAAAATATTGCCCCATACTACTTTTGGCATGTTTTCCCACTTGCACTCTCTCTATCTCTCTCCTCATTGATATTTGTGTTAACCCATGTGCATCATATTTTGCCTAAAGTCTTAATAAAGTGGAATTAAGGTTTGGGACAGACAATTGGGGACAGAGGGAGTACCAAGTATGAATTTTTGTTGTCTATGGGTACACCACCTGGTAGATCAGTATCGAAGCTTGACCTTGCTCAACTGTAATCAATCCCCCATAAAATGTTTACAAGTGAATCGGGTTCAAAGTCAATTTTTGTGATAAAGGAATTTTTTTTTTTTTTCTTTTTTTGAAGCATAGTGATAAATTACTAGTTGTTAAGTGATAATATAGATTGGGCCAAGTCATTTTGTCATTTTCAATTATTATCATTATTATTATTATTATTACTTTACGAGAAATTGGTGGGGAGCCGAGATACAATCTGGGCCCCCACTCCTCTAGTTATAGCGAACATGTTGAAGCTATTATTATTATTATTATTATTATTATTATTATTATTATTATTATTATTATTATTATTATTATTATAAGAAAAAAAAAAACCTACAAAGTCAATCAATTTATAAGAAATTGGTGGGGAGCCGAGGTACAATCTGGGCCCCCACCCCTCTAGCTATTGCGAACCCGATCCTGCTGAAGATGTGAGCAGCCGCACGAGCACCAATATCCCGGGTCTTAGAGAACGCCTGAACCCGCTTCAGCAACGCAATAGCATCCTTCTCTAATTCCCTCAACGAAGAAAAGGAGAAAGGAAGAAAACCATAGCCAATAGCCATGCAACGCGCCCCATACTTGTCCCGCTTCCACTGAGCCGCCGCCGACACAACACGACCAGGAACGAAGTCAGACAACCCCGATTGCGTTAAAGGTGAAGACCCCGTCAAGTCAACACATACATCAAGGCCTCTATCCCAGGAATAAAGCAACACATCTGCTGGTCGAAGAGCCCCGTCGTTCCCTCCAGTCAACCCAACGTTAACCTCCTTTCGAGCAAAAATCCCAAACCGAAAACAAATATCAACAAGGGTGTCACAAATTATTATTATTATTTTTATTATTATTATTATTATTATTATTATTATTATTATTATATCTCAAAAACTAAAGTCATACGACCTACAATAAATTAGTGGGAAGCCGAGATACAATCTGGGCCCCCACTCCTCTAGCTATAGCAAAGCCTACCCTAGTGAATATATGAGCTGCAGCACAAGCCCTAATGTCTTGCGTCGTCGAGAACCTCTGAATCCGCTTCAGCAACGCAACAATCTCCTTCTCTAAATCCCAAGCGAAGAAAAGGAGAAGGGAATGAAACCATATCCAATCGCCAGACAACGAGCTTCATTCTTAACCCGCTTCCGATGAGCCGCATCAACTAGGGATGTCCATAATTCGGATAAAAACCGAAATCCAATCTAATCCAAACCGAATTATCAATTCGGATCGGATCCGAACTTTAAATCAGATCGGATCGGATTGAGATTTTTTGGAAATTCTGATTTTCGGATTGGATCGGATTGACCCTAATTGGATCCAATCCAAACCGAAAACCGAATTGTAAAATTAAGCTTGTATAAATATGGATTTCTGTATATTTTGAAGTGTAGCTTAAATACTTACTAATACATAAAATAAGTTAGAGAGACTTTGTATTAATTAATTAATGACTTGACGTTGAACTATTTATTTTAATCATGATTTTGAAGACTTTTATTTGTAGTAATGCTTTATTTTTAAAATTGTATTAGGCGCTAAAAAATAATGTATTATAATTTGGATTTTCGGTCGGATCCAAATAACCGAATTTTAATTAGGATTGGATTGGATTGGATTGGATCAAGAGAGAAATTCGGATCGGATCAGATTGAAAAATTGAAAACCGAATTATATTTCAGATTGGATCGGATTTGGACTAAATCCAAACTGAAAACCGAACGGACACCCCTAGCATTAGCACAACCCGTCCTGGAACAAAGTCAGATAGCCCTATCTTTGTCAAAGGAGAAGACCCTGTGAAGTCGACACATACATCACGACCACGATCCCATGAATAAAGTAACACATCGTCAGGTCCGAGGGCCCCGTCATTCCCTCCATACAATCCTATGTCAACCTCCTTTCTTGCTGAAATCCCAGATCTATAGCAAATATCAACAAATGTATCCTGAACAACATTGTGCCGATATTTAATACCTACAATGCCAGCACAAGACACCGCATGGTCTCCGAATACATCCCCTGTAAAAACCCGAGAGCAAGCAGAGCACGGTGTTGAGACAAAGAACAATGGAACACCCATCCGATAACACATCACAGATCGATATGTCTTAGCGTTCATTGTCTGACCTAATCCAGAAATAGGGACTGCCCGAAGCCAAGCAGAGGTGTGATCACCCTGCTGTGACTTCCACAATGCCGACTGCCTAGGAGACAAAGAAAAGGTGGATTCCGCAGAAGCGGTAATCTTTGTGAAATATATATCTGCCAATTTCTTTATAAGTTTAGGGGCAGCGACCTCACAAGGATTACCTAAAATGTCAGACTCAACCGTTCCATTAAACAGACTCAAGGCATCCTCAAAAGCTTGACCAAGACCCACAAGCTAGTTCAACAGTTCATTCTTGTAAGCCCCTTTGTCAGCCACACTAAGACTTCGGGTCATCATGCACTGACACAATCATTATCT